TAGACAATTTAGAAATGGATGCCCATTTTAGTTTATAACTCTCATTCGGAAATTTTGCATCAAATCTAATGCTGACGGATTCGCCGAAGGGACTAGTAGCAATTCGACGTGCAAACAAAGTGTTTTAGCCGAAAGCGTATTTCGAGTAGTGCGCCTCGTAGCAACTGATTATAGTCAATCACTGCTCAGCTGATAATATTCCTTTTTCTTTAAACATACTGATGATTGATAAGTAAAATAAAATGTCTTAGTAAGCTAAATCACTAATGAAGGTCACGAGGCAAGGGGGTGAAGAGAATAAGAACATATCGGAGTAACTTTTGTGTAGATTGAAGAGGCGAAGGGGCTCAAATCCCTTCCATTCGCTTCTTCAAACGAAGAGAAAGTTACTCCAACATTAATGTATTAAGACAGTGATTCCCAAACTGTGCACAGCGCCGCCCCAGGGAGCCGCGGCCTATTTACAGGAGCGCCGCGAAATATTGTAAAAGCTTCAAATTGAGAAAATGTGCAGGGATTTGCAAGCTTATCCATCACATTAATTATTGAATATTAATTTAATGTTGATAAAGTAAATAAAATAATAATGGATATACACGAGTTTTATTTATATTTATCTCTTACTTACGAATAGTCATACTTAGGATTTTTAATTTAATTGGAAAAGGGCGCCGCGACTAGGAAAAGTTTGGGAACCATTGTATTAAGAGATATTTCAGAAGCCAGTAATTCTAAATACCCAACGGAGACAACACGTCTGCGAGACAAAATACGATGAGATATGTGCTTGCGATGCCAGACTTAAAACGCCAGAATGTCAAGCAACTTCCTCATCCTTAATTTGTGAAATGACTTATGCTAATCACCAATTGCCAGAGTAAAGAAACAAAATTTAAATAGACTAAATGTTGTCATTGTTGGGGGAACTTTCATTTTGCATGAAAGTGCATGAAGAAGATATTCGTAGATCGATCTTACGAGAAGAGGACGGATGAAGCGCGTTGTACTGCAGCCGTTTGGCCTTTATACGACGTGGTTTAACTAATTATCTTTCATACTGGTCCCGCTAATTTTGCTCGAGTGTATGCGTATATGTGTGTGCGTCTATACGCAATAGCGCTCCTAAATCAGAGTTGTCAAAAGGCTAATGTCAGGCTCTGATCATCAAGATCTAATGACTTAAGAGAAAGCCCTGACCGAGAATGCGTAAGTCCGTAGGCAAGTATGGCTGAGATAATGAGATATGAGCTTGCAAGCCGGTAAATCAAGTTACGAAAAGACTTTTCTTAACCTCTCAGTCTAGGCTCATTAACGTTTAACCTCTCAAGGAAAAGCATGACTGGGACTGCGTAATCTAGCACGTCTGGTTTGGTTGATGAGCTCAATAAAACATGTTGTCATCATTAGAGAAGAGGGTAATTTAGAAAGAGATGTTTATAGTAAGCCAACATATGCGTTGGCTCTGCTTAATTTTCTTTCCAACCATAGTTAGCTAGCGGATAGCAAATATTTTGACTAAAGAGTCGGAACGGCTGACAAATTTATTCTTGGAAAATAATTATCCTTAGGCCTTATTGGGAATAATATCTCTTTACTGAGGAATAAATTTTCAAACGGAGACAATTTAGTATAAGATAGACAAGCGGGGATCTCTCATGTCCTGATTTTGCCGTCATGCCTTCCTTCTAAAAGATAGGTAAACTAGTGAGAAAATGGAGGATAAAAGCAAAGTTCAACAAAACTCGCACACTTTCTTTAATTATGCCATATTTTAAACTCATTATCGAGATCCGGCTGCTACAAAATGGTGTGCTACTGTGGTCTATTCGACAAAGGTTGGGAGAACACGAAAGTCCTTGTAAAAGAAGTTGTGTCCAACAGTCGGAAGCGGCCGAACACATGGTAGAAACTGGACACGAAATCGAATGGTCTCAAACTAGTAGATTTGCTGATTAATTAAAGACCAAGATGTTGTGGCCTGTGGTATGGTCGCAGTCTCCTTTGGATTTATAAAAGTAGGTTGACCTCGTTGTCGCAACTTGGTCTTGTTGTCAGGGCGACTATGTAATACACACCTAGTCCGAAGTCGTCTG